CCCCGAGCCCCTGCCCCGTCGTCGTCGCCCGCCCCCGCGCGCCGCCACCGCTGTGAGCCGCCGCGCCGCACCGGCTCTGTTTTTTTTTTCATTTTTATTAGTTTAGTTTTTTTGTTCAATGTATATATATGTGTATGTATGTGGCTATATATATATGCGGCTCTGTTTCTTTTCATTTTTATTAGTTTAGTTTTTTTGTTCATATATATATAATGTATATGTGTATGTATGTGGCTATGTGTATGTAGATGTTCAAAAATTGTTCAGAGCATGTTTTTGTTCATATATTCATATGTGTATTAATGTTTTCATATATGCAAAAGATAGATTTTTAGAAAAGTTAGGTTCTTTTTCTGTTCATAGATTTTTTGGTGATATTAATTATTGTAGAATATGAAAATGTTTGTATATTCATATGAACAATGCATTAGGCAAAACCTTTGTATTTTTTCGAAATTTTCTATTTGAGCATTTTTTTAAAACAAGCAATACTAAAAGAATGAGAGGAAAAAGGAAAATAAGAAGAGGAAGAAAGGAGAAAAAGAGGAGACGAAGAAGAGGAGAAATAAATAAGAAGAGGAAAAAAGAAGAAAAAGAAGAGGAGAAGAAGAAAGGAATAGAGGAGAAAGAAGAAAAAATAGAAGAAAAAAATTCTATTTTTTCTTCTTCTCCTCTATTCCTTTCTTCTTCTCCTCTTTTTTTCTTCTTTTTTTTCTTCTTCCTTCTTTTCTTCCTTTTCCTTAATTATTTTCCTTTCTCGAGGGAGAAGAAGAAAAAGAAGAGAAGAAGAAGAAAGAAAGGAATAGAGGAGAAAGAAGAAACTTCAACACGAGCTAGGGGGTGGTACCGATACCCCCTCCCCGATAACTCTCGAGGACACCCAAACCCTAGAGAGAAAACGATGTTGGTCTCCTACCCCCTCCCGCCGCGCCCCTACCCGACAAATTAACTCTCGAGGCCACCCAAATTTATCAAGTTAAAAGAGCGTTGTCGTCGAGGCCACCCAAACCCTTGAAGCGTTGTGTCGAGGCGACCCCAAACCCTAGAGAAGCAGCGTCGAGGCCACTAACATGATTCCTTATTGTGATTAGCTATCTAGTTCTACGTTTGCCACTAATATATATATATATATATATATATACCATGTTTGAATAATAATTGACATGTTGTAAATATTTGCAGAAACTATATATGGAGCACTCCCAAGACGAAGAAACAGAAGCGATGTTGGGGGACATAATCGCAAATGGAAGTGATGATGTTGCGTCATTTCTCCTCGACACCGATGGTCAGCTGGAAGGACTGGATGAAGAAGAGGGCTATGTTTATGATGGCTTCGACCCATTAATGCCGGTACAAGAGGAGGACTATGTTCATCATGGCCCCGATGACACAATGGAGGTATAAGAAGGAGACCGTGCTGACTGCTCCGGTCACCGAACCGAGTCCGGCCAGGTATATATATATTAGTTAAGCCCGTGCTGACTAGTTAATTGATGCATCCATTGTTTTGGTATATGTACACATATTAATTACTGTCGTCTTTCTTCCTTATAATTTCTAGCCCTCCGGATCGAGCACAACTTCGGTAAGGAGACGAGGCCCGAAGAAAAAGTTGAGCTCGGATGAAAAGTTTGAGATCATAGAAATCGCGCCCGACGGCGAACCGATTGAACCCATCCGGACAAGGAAGGCATTTTCTGCTCAGTGCGGGGTTCTTGTTAGGGACAAGATCCCGATCAGCATCCAGCAATGGTATAAGCCTGCTAAGGATGAAGACCCTGAGGTGTCTTATGTCAATGATATGCAGAAAGAAGATCTTTGGACTGAGCTGAAGGCAAATTTCACCCTACCGGGTGCTCATTTTGTCTGGGCCTTCAGTTTAATCTTTTTATTCAGCGGCCATGGTTATTGGCAAGAACTCATTGAATCTATCATTTGGGCTCATAACAAATTCAAAGTTGCTCCTGCTACTCAGCCTAGAGCCTTGAGCATTATACAAGGACGTGCTGGATAGTCAAATAATGGGAAAAATTGGATTCAATTGTCAACTGGTCCTATCGAAAGTATGATTGACTATGGATTCGAGCCAGAGGAGGATCCGGAGAAGCCAGTTAAAGAGCAATTAATCAAGTCTTGTGCTCTTAAGAAGATGGCAAGCCTAATGAGGAGGTGGAGGAAAGAGCTGAACCAGTTTGTAGAGAAACAAAAGACACCAGAATTCATCGGCAAATATGAGAAGATCAAAGATCACTGGCCCGCATTTGTGGCCCACAAGATATCGGAAAAGAGTAAGAAGATGTCGGAGACAAACAAGAAAAATGCTGCGAAGAAGAAGCTTCACCATCGCACGGGGTCAGGTGGCTACCTCAAAGCCCGGCCTAAGTGGTCCAAGGCTGAGCATGATCTGCTTGAAAAAGGGATCGAACCAGAGACAATGCGCTGGCCAGACCGTTGCCGGACTTGGTTCTTCGGGGCTGGCGGAACCTTGGACCCTGTAACAGGGAAGTGTCAGTGGACGGACGAGCAACTGCAAACACTAGTCAAGAACCTTCGACACTATATCGATGCAGCGCAGCGAGGGACGTTCCTTCCAAACAGGGAGAAGGACGAGCTCACAATGGCCCTTGGGAATCCCGAGCACCCTGGACGGACACGAGGCATGCCAGGCTCCATTCCGTGGAAGGTTGGTTTTCTGGACGCAGGGGGTTACAAAACCCACGAGAGGAGGAAGAAACTGGAGCAGGACCAAATGCAGGCGTTGCACGAAAGGGTAATGGGGCTAGAGGAACGAGAAGAGGTACGAGAAGCAGCAGATCACAACAAACGACCTGCCGAAGCTTCCCCCGAAGCTACCCCGCCATCTCAGCGGAGAAGCAACGTGGCTTCCACCGAGCTGCTTCAGCCGGAGCATGTCTTGACGGCTCCTGCCAGCTATCCCGTGGATGGTATCACGGAGTCTCAAAATTGCCACATTATGGCGCGATGGATGAATTTGAAGGTCAAGGCGGCTGTTGGCCAAGTTTATCCTAGTGGACCCGGCACAACTTATCACTGCTAGCCGATTCCAGAAGGATTTGCTAAGGTGATGGTGGATGAAATAACAGAGGGATTTGAGGACCTCGTGCTTGAGCACCCTACCGGTGAAGGGGAGACTAGGCTGGGTTCTGCTCTGAAGACTCCATGCCTATGGCGGAAGGAGCTCATCAACCTTCTGAACTGGACGCCTCTGCCTCCTCCTCCTCCTCCGGCGAGTCAGGGCACTCCGCCTCCTCCACCGCCTCCTCCTCCGGCGAGTGACGATCAGGGCACGCGTGGCGGCACTCCACCTCCTCCACCGCCTCCTCCTCCGGCGAGTGACGATCAGGGCACGCGTGGCGGCACTCCGCCTCCTTCTCCGGCGCGTGGCGGCACTCCGCCTCCTCCTTCTTCGCCTCGCCAGCAAGGGCGGAAGAGACCCGCCGCCGCCCCGGCTGCTCCGGCACGTCGTAGTCCTCCTCCGCCTCGTAAGCAAGCACGAAAGAAGACAAACGTCGCAGCTGCTCCGTCTGCTCCGGCGTCTAGCAGCACAATAAGAGGAGAGAGGCAATACAGATACGGTCCACCTCTAAAGCCTCTAGAGAAGTTACCGTACGAGAGGCCCAAGGAGGAAAACAATACGATCGTGCAGGCCCACGTGAAGGAGTTCTTTGAAGGGGTGAAAGCAAAGAGACATCCACCTCCGGAGGAGAAGGTAGATCCGGCGAAAGCAAAGCGCACTCTCGATGCCCTGAGGAAACCACCAAAGTCTCCGCCGAGAACCAACTATGAGCGCATTACTGAACAGACATATCTCCAAGCCAAGCGGTCGGGAACTACTGTCAGTGATAAAAGGTCAAAAGAACAACGAGCAAAGGGGAAAAAATTGCCCAGCTCGGCGAACAAGCACATCAATCGTGCCCCCCGCTCAATGTGTCTAATCCTCCGGGGATGGTGGCCGGTTATGGCAATCTTGAAGATTACCTGCCTGACGATGCACTTCCTGATTTCATGGAGGTGGACGTATTCAGATACGAGTACGAGAAGCCTCTCGTCAAAGATGAAAAATCTCTGACAATAATGATGCGAAGATTCCATAGTTGGTACATGAAAACCTGCAGAGAGTCTGAGGGGACGAACAGTTTGTATCTGAACATTAAAGAGGAGCACGACCTTGTTTCAAATGATCTGTTGTGTGTTCCATTTGAGGAGTTCTTCGAGTTCTTCAATCAAAAGGCCCTCGATAAATTAATGGTCTTTTGCTACTGCATGTAAGTACTATTTCTGTCATTAAGTCTCTATATATAGCTCGGCTCTTTCATTGCATGTATTTATAATTAATTATCCTTAATATATTATGTAGATTGAAGATCGTCGAGTGCAAAACACAAGAAATTTATGATATTGGGTTCATTAACACAAATATCATAGATGTATTTCTGGTTGAAAAGAACGTCGAAGAGGCCGAGGACAACTTGCTACAATCATTGATCAAAAATCAAAACAAAGATACCATACTCTTTTCTTACAACGGCCCGTGAGTGTTACTGTCGTGTGCACACGACAGTAATAAGTTGACTGGGCTCGGCGCACAGGGCCACGTGGAGGCACATTGGTCCCGGTTCGTGTTTGAACCGGGACTAATGGGTGGAGGCATTAGTAACGACCCATTAGTCCCGGTTCATGAACCGGGACTAAAGGCCCTTACGAACCGAGTCTAATGGGTGGTTTTCTACTAGTGAGTAAACACATATATAGAGTCCTCTGCTTCGAGTACTTGCAGGGTGAAAGCCTAGACAAGCGTCTTCCTGGTACGATGGAACTTAACCTTAGTATATGTTCATTTTCTTTCATGTTTAAAAAAACAAATTTAATTCTATTGTGTATAATATTGTCTTTATCAACTTGTGTAGAAGAATCTTTTGCACCTGATTGGAGCATACGTTACATGATTATAAAGGGCATTTGTGAAGGATTAAATTTCCTTCACAGGTGTGAACCACCAATTTTTCATCTTGATCTAAAGCCTGCCAATATATTACTAGACAGTTCCATGATGCCTAAAGTGGCAGATTTTGGATTGTCAAGGGTCATCAGTCAATCACACACTCAAGTCACAAAACAAATCAAAGGAACCCAGTAAGTGCCTCCCGGAATTCCTCATTTTTCAGTTTCCCCCCTTTTGTGATCAAATAAACAATATCTGTGCTGACTGTGTCCTTTGATATCATGCAGGGCATACATGCCACCAGAATTCATAAAAGATGGCTATATCTCACGTAAGAATGATGTCTTCACTTTAGGACTTGTGATGATAGAGATAATGACAGGGTCTTTGGGTTACTCCGGTCATATAGAAACTGACGAAGTCGTGCAATTTACGCAGAAGGTACGGAAAAACATTTTCAGTTTGACACTCGAGTTTATATAGCAAAGCACCACATTATGGACATGTTTGATGTCTATACTTTACACATTATGATCGTGCAAGCAAGGAGTTGATAACTTATTTGAACTATAAAAAACTGTTAACCTAATATGCAAGTTGTTTCCTTTGTGCGAGCGGAAAACGTCTTACCCTAGTCGAGGGCGACGTGATGTTTATATATAGCAGGGGAGCCGAGCCAACCGGCTTGTACATGCGGTCAAGAAAGAGAAAGAGATAAGAGAGATCTAAGATACATCTTGGGTGACAAGAAAGGAAGATGGTTACAAGAAGATCTCTATGCAAACTACCTCCTGGATTTATCTCTAGTATGCACCGAATCATATATCTCCTGCCGCATATAACGTGACACATAATGATGTTTAACACTCCCCCTTAATCACAACTTCATCAGGTTGAGATTATGCTTAAATTCTTCAAAGTTCCGCATAGGCAGGGCCTTAGTAAACCCATCTGCAACTTGATCTCTGGAATGAATGAACCGAATATCAAGTTGTTTCCGTGCAACTCTTTCTCTGACAAAGTGAAAGTCTATCTCTATGTGCTTTGTTCTAGCATGAAAGACTGGATTTGCAGACAAGTAGGTGGCACCAAGATTATCACACCACAGACATGGAGCTTGTGAGCTTTGTATACCAAGTTCCTTTAACATTGATTGAACCCATATGATTTCAGCTGTGGCATTTGCTAATGCCTTATACTCTGCCTCTGTGCTAGATCGAGACATTGTGGCCTGCTTCCTTGCACACCACGAAATCAAGTTTGGTCCAAAAAATATTGCAAATCCACCAGTAGAGCGTCTGTCATCCAGACAGCCTGCCCAATCAAAGTCAGAGAAGGCACTAACAAGAGTTGAGGATGACTTGCTGAAACTAAGACCAATGCTCAAGGTATGTTTGACATATCTGACAATGCGTTTTGCAGCAGTCCAATGCACAGTGGTAGGAGCATGCAAAAACTGACATACCTTGTTAACAGCAAAAGAAATATCAGGCCTTGTTAAAGTCAAGTAGTGAAGTGCACCTACTAAGCTCCTGTACTTTGTACTGTCCTCTTGATTCAAGAGTTGCCCTTCTGTGAGAGATAATTTTTCTGAGCTGGACAATGGAGTGAAGGATGGTTTACAACCTTGCAGACCTGCCTTTCTTACCACATCAGTTGCATATTTCTCTTGAGAGAGGTGAAGTCCATCCTTGTGTTTCTTCACTTCAATCCCAAGAAAGAAATGCAAATCTCCAAGATCCTTGAGAGCAAATTTTGCACTTAAATCCTTCAACAATGATGCAATGGCCTCACTAGATGAACTTGTAACAATAATGTCATCAACGTAGATGAGAACAAATATGCATGTATTGAGCTTATTGTAAATAAATAGTGAGGTATCTGACTTGGAAGGAACAAAACCAAGTGATTGCATCTTGTGACTAAGACGTGAGTACCATGCTCTTGGTGCTTGCTTCAAGCCAAGTGATTGCATCTTGTGACTAAGACGTGAGTACCATGCTCTTGGTGCTTGCTTCAAGCCATAGAGTGCTTTATCAAGTTTGCACACAAACGAGGGATTAGACTTACTCTCAAACCCAGGAGGCTGTTTCATGTACACCTCTTCTTCCAGAACACCATGAAGGAATGCATTCTGTACATCTAGCTGCCTGAGAATCCATCCCCTAGAGACAGCAATAGACAGAACAAGATGAATAGTAGCAGCTTTTACAACCGGACTGAAAGTATCCTCATAATCAATCCCATATCTCTGTTTAAAGCCTTTGGCAACAAGCCTTGCCTTGTATCTGTCAACAATTCCATCAGATTTTCTCTTAACTCTGAACACCCACTTGCAGTCTATGAGATTTTTACCTTGCCGTGGACGAACTAGATGCCATGTTTTATTCTTCCTCAATGCCACATACTCTTCCATCATTGCTTTTCTCCATTTTTCATCTCCAAATGCCTCATCCGAAGTTCTTGGTTCAGCATGTGCATCTGTAGAACAAACGAGACCATATTTGCTCATATGTTTATAATTAAGAGGTTGAGTTACACCTTTTTGCAACCGTGTGAGCCGCCGAGACTGTGCTGCAGAGTTAGCCGGTGCAGAAGATCCGGAGGAGTCGCGCACAGGAGTTCCAGCGAGCGATCCTGAGACAGATTCGCCCGCCAGCCGCACCGGATCCTCTGTGGCTTCAGTAGTTGACGGAGCAGTTGCAGCATCCACAGAAGATCCAGGCGCACCGGTCGGCTCATCATGAGCCCATGATTGCGCAGGGCCACTCGAATCTGCACCGGATCCCGCTCCCTCCTGGCTGGATGGGTCCGCGTTGGAGTCCGCGCTAGTCGGCTGCAGCTGGGCACGGGAATCCGCGCCGGTCGGCCGCGCCTGGGCCCGCCTCTGGTAGCACTGTGGTTGGTCGCAAAAACACGCCCCGCCTGGGCCATCAAGGCGCCGCCACATGGCGTCTGGTGATTGGCGCGGGGCTGGCACGGGGCTGCCGCCACCCGCAAGCTGGCTCGTGGCAGGCGCGGGGCAACGGAAACTCGCACGCACGGCAGATTCCGCTGCGGGCGAATCTGGCGCGTCTGCTAGCGCTGATCCCGGCACAGATTTCCTGGACGCCGCCTGATCCGGTGTTGATCCCGAGGGGGATTTGCTCCCCGATTCCTGACACAACAAATATGGCACTTGAAGGCCGAGTTCCTCGTCATTTTTGTCGCTGATTTTTCCTGCATCATCACCAGAAAACTCGTCTGGACCATTAGGAGGGTTAGTCAGCATTGAATCATCACAAGAATTTCCCTCATGATCAAGGCTGGTGAGATGAGATGGCAAGAGGAGAATCTCTTTGCGAAGCAAGGCACCTGCGTTGGGATGAAGATCAGCAAACGGGAATTTTGTTTCGTCAAAAACAACGTCACGGGAGACATAAACCCGTCCTGTAGACACATCAAGGCATTTTACACCTTTGTGTTGAACACTATATCCAAGAAACACACACTGTTTTGACCGAAACATGAGTTTGCGTTGATTATATGGACGAAGATTGGGCCAACATGCACACCCAAAAACACGGAGAGATGTATAATCAGGTTTGGTGTGGAGGAGTCGTTCTACTGGAGTTTCGTTATTAATAACACGACTGGGAAGCATGTTGATGATATGAACGGCAATGAGAAAGGCTTCATCCCAGAATTTAAGAGGCATGGAGGCGCCAGCTAAGAGAGCTAAGCCGACCTCAACGATGTGCCTGTGCTTGCGTTCAGCTGAGGCATTTTGTTGGTGAGCGTGGGGGCACGACACATGATGGGAGATGCCGAGAGTTTGAAAGAAGGAGTTTAATTTCTCATATTCTCCGCCCCAGTCTGATTGGACAGCAAGTATCTTGCTGTCAAACTTGCGTTTAACGAGTGCTTGGAAATTTTTAAAGACTTGAAAGACATCGAATCTTTTCTTAAGTAGATAAATCCAAGAAAGTTTTCTATAGTCATCAATGAAACTCACATAGTATGTATGTCTACCAACTGAGTTGGGGGCAGGACCCCAAACATCTGAAAAAATTAATTGCAGTGGTTTGGTAGACAAACTAGTGGATATAGGATAGGGTAGCTGATGACTCTTAGCACGTTGACAGGAATCACAAATAGTTTCAATATTGCGCTCACCAACAAACGGGAGCTTATTCTTTTTAAGTAATTTTTCAACTAGGGAAAAAGAAGCATGTCCTAAACGATCATGCCATCGTGTGGATGAAAGCTTGATAGCACCACAAGCTTGTTTATTTAGTCTCCTAAGCTCCGGAATCAACGGGTAGAGCCCACGGATGCATCTACCTCGGTAGAGAATTTTCTTCGTCACCTGATCCTTGATCAAAAAGAAATAGGGGTGAAATTCAAGGAAGACATGATTGTCAAGAGCAATTTTATGGACAGAAAAAAGACTTTTGTCGGCATTAGGAACATGCAAAATTTTCCTAAGATGAATTCTACGGGAAGGGGTACTAAAACTTGAATGACTAATGTGACGGATCTCCATACCTTCACCACTAGCTATGTGGATTTGGTCCTTGCCACGGTACTTCTCCTTCATGGTCACCTTCTCGAGCTCGTTGGTGATGTGGTTGGTGGCGCCACTGTCGACATACCAGTTGGTGTCGATTCCGTAGGAGCCATCTGCGGCCGCCGCCACCTTGTCATCATCTTGAGAGGAGTCATCATCCTCTTCATAGCGGTACCAGCAATCTTTTGCTGTGTGTCCCACCTTGCCACAGATCTGGCACCGCGGAGCATCAGGGCGTGCACGAGGGTTGCCACCGCCGCGGCGAGTTTTGTTCGAGTTGCGCCCGCCGTTGCGGGAGTTGGAGCCGCCACCGTTTCCTCCACTGGGCCTCCCCCTGCCACGGGAGAAGCCGCCGCCACTGCCGCGCCTAGAGAAGCCACCACGACCACGAGACGCCGAGTTCGTGGAGGACTTGAAGCCGCCGCTGCTGTTGCCGTGGAAGTGTGCCATCCGCTGGTCAAAGTTTGACAGCATGGCGAAGAGCTCGTCGATGGTGACGGGCATGACGCGAGCATCCAGGGCAGAGATCAGCGGCTGGTAGTCGGCGTCGAGCCCATGGATGATGTAGGAGATGAGCTCGTCGTCGAGGATGGCCTTGCCCGCCGCAGCTAGCTCATCGGCATAGCCGCACATGGTGGCGAAGTAGGTGGCGACGGAGAGGTTGCCCTTCTGCGCATTGATGAGAGAAGTACGGATGTTGTTGATTCGACTCACCGATTGCGATGAGTACATGCCAGCGAGCGTCGTCCAGAGCGCGCCCGCTGTGGTGATCGTGGTCACCGTGAGGAGCACCTCCTTGGTGAGGTTGCTCAGTAGGTATCCGAGGACCTGCTGGTCCTCTCGGACCCAGATGGGGTGGAGAGGGTTGGGCGTTGACGTCTCCTTGCCTTCCTTGGTGGTGACGAGGAGGCGCGCCGGCTCCGGATGGGTGCCGTCGACGTAGCCGAAGACCCCGGCGCCACGCAGCTGCGGTATGATCTGCGTGCGCCATAGCACGTAGTTCGTGCGGGATAGCTTCTCGATGACCTGGCCGTTGAGGCTAGGATGGAAGGAAGCGCCGGAGGAGGAAGACATGGTGCGGCTTCGACACAGGTGATCCTGGTAGCTAGATGAGTTGAAGAAGAGGGGCTTTGATTACCATGTGCGAGCGGAAAACGTCTTACCCTAGTCGAGGGCGACGTGATGTTTATATATAGCAGGGGAGCCGAGCCAACCGGTTTGTACATGCGGTCAAGAAAGAGAAAGAGATAAGAGAGATCTAAGATACATCTTGGGAGACAAGAAAGGAAGATGGTTACAAGAAGATCTCTATGCAAACTACCTCCTGGATTTATCTCTAGTATGCACCGAATCATATATCTCCTGCCGCATATAACGGGACACATGATGATGTTTAACATCCTTTTGTATTTTCGGAAACGAAAAAAATGTGAACTCCACCGGTCCAATAACTACCAACAATGGATATCCATTATATTATAAGAAACCTACATGGCACATTTAGTCATTAGCATAAACAACCAGTAGTTAAATTATTCATGTAATTAATCCGCTTGCCAGTAGAAAAATCTAGAGTATAATTAATTTTGTATACTACTCGTCGAGTGCCAAGAATGCACATTTGGAGATTCTAAAAATGAAAAGAAATGTGCACGTAGAACCTTGCTTCATTAGAGAGGTGATAAGCACATATACATATAGTACATTTCTTTTATTTCTAGTTCCTTTTGATTATAAAGAGCGTTTCCATCTGCATTTTGGAGCAAGTACAAGGTAAAAAAAACTTTGCTCTCATAATTAGACATCTAATACTCTCTATCTAGGTTAGTTATCTAGGAAGTGGTACGCGACACCTTTGAACAAGAATATGACGTATATATCAGAGTACATGTCACACCTTTTGACTTAGAATTTACATATACCAGAAAACTTCTCCCTGCATACAATATATTGACCATGAAATTTGTGTGTCAAGAACACTTTTGAACAACCCGCAAAAAAAAAACACTTTTGAACAGTATCTTAGATAGTAATTTTATATTTTTCATCTCAAATTATATCTCTCTTCCTGTTTCATAGGTACTTAGCAATTGGAAGAATAGGATAAAGGCCACTTCAGAGTACCCATTAGAGGAATCACATCAAGTGCAGACATGCATCGACACAGCAATGCGTTGTATGGAACTTGACGGAAACGATCAACCAACTATAGCAGAAGTACTGGATACTCTGAACAAGACAGAAACTCATATTCCCAAGAGACAGGTATGATCTGCGTACTTATGCAAACGAAATGAAAGCAAGAGAGCATTTATTTACAATTGACAGAAGATAGTTGTTTGTGCACATGGACTAGCTAGCAATAGTAGATTCTGCAGCTCCCCATTTCCCAATCATTTTTGTTTTCCGGCTGTAAAACATACTTTTTACATCTTTTTGATTCTTCACTCTTCAATCTGTCAAGAACAAAGTTAAGTTTAATTCCGTCTAATTTTAAGAACAGAAAGACTAGAAGAGTGCGTGTTCAAAATCATGCCATATAGTGAATGGCGGTGTTGATGTCGTATGAACTACCCTGATAGGACTATAGGATAGCTTGACCTGCGTGCCGAGGCTGTTGGAAGTAAAAAGTTGCATGCCTAGCTTAGTCTGAGTTAGAAAACATGAGGTTTCGATAATGTGTTTAATTTGCATGCCATACATGAATTTCGGTTATGTCCTAGACTCTTCTAGTTGTACGTGGCTTTGCTTGTAAACTAGTACTAGTCGGTAATGGTTTAGCATACCGCGCGTGTTGATCACTGAAGGCCCGTGCAAGCATCTGGGTTGGAAAAGAAATCAACCATGTCCTTGAGCTGTGTTTTGCTCATGATCTTATGGGAAGTTCGATTTAGTGCTGTAGAACATTGCTGATCCAAGGGAGAAAACCAAGAGCGGCGCCCTCACTTGACACAGCCAGAGGCGCAACAGTGGCTGCCGGAGATGGTGATGGGAGTGATGAGAGGTAAAGAGGTTCCGCTCGGTGGCTGTGGAGTAGAGTGGTGGAGTGGAGTGTCTTAAGGGCGCCCCCGGAGGGGAAGAGGTTAGAGTGTAGAGCACTGGCAGCATTGCAATGCCCTGTAAGCATCAACTTAGCTTTAGAATCATGGCGCACACCCTGTTTCCGCTTCAATCATGTCACCACGTATCGGGCTCCTCC